ATCATATGATTAATATTTACAATTTTATTGGCTAAATCTAATATGCATGATCGGGATCATCATCTCCTAATTTGGGATGGTTCTACCTGTAGGTAAGAATTTGTAAATTTTGTGTAGGACCCGTGGGACCGTTAAGTCATGATAAAATTATTTTTCTAATGACGTGTAGTTAAAATAGTGCAACATGTGTTTACTAAATTCTAGATAACTGCACAATGTAGATAGTTGAACCTCGGAAATTTTACATTTTGATTGACTAAATGTCAAAATAAATTAGGATCTACCCTTTACCACTATCGTTATTCTAAATTTGTACTTGCTGTCTAGGGATGCTGACGACTTAATCGACTCTATTGATTAATTGGTTTTTAAAATAATAAATATACAAGTCGGGTCAAGCTGTTAGCATCCCTAGTGCTGACAATATTCGCTTTATGTAAATAATGCACATATATGTTTACAGGTTTTTCTTGAATCCAACCTATTTCACAACCTAAATTTATCTATATGGGTATATGTTTATTTATGGCCCCCTGCTTATCTAAATTTGTAGAACTAGGCAGTGTTGAATTAATTATGATGCTAAAATAGTATCAATCCATTACAGTACCTAATATAGTGACATGCAATTAATTATTGTTGTGTTGAATTACTACGGTGCAAAGTATAGTAACTCACAAATTACTGTAGATTGAATCATATACAAAAAAAAAGATATAAGTCCTCTCTTTTTTTTAGTGCGAGAATCCATTAAATTGAATTCATACTAATAACATATTTTCTTTTTTTTGAAAGTTATAATGCAAGCATCAACTAATAAGGGAAAAGGGGAGAACGTCATAACACAGAATGCATGACCTACTAAAACCAAATTGTCGAGACAGGCCCATACACGCAAAAACAAAAAACTTAGGCGTGATTAGAAACAAGCTGAGATACTTTACGAGTTGGACGTTGACATTCCTTTGCTAATCGATGATATCGTCTTCGATCCATCTCCACATCGAATCCAATCTGCCACCCGAAAAATATCTGCTAATGATAATATTTATTATTTAGAGAGGGAGTGGACAAGTATTTCTCTCTGCTCTTCAGATTGGGTATTAACCAAAAAAAATAAAACTTGGTATGACATATCGGCTGGAGAATTGCTAATTGAAACTCTAATTAGAGAAGCAAAATCCTCTAACAGTAACTCTTTTAAGTTGCCTGAGATTCCATCAAACTTTCTCTCTCTGATCTATACTGATATTATTAGAAAGACTGATGTCGGTATTGAGTGATCATCACCTAATACCACTAATAAGTAATTGTGGGTTGCTTTCGGCCAGTAGCTAGACTTAAAGGAGCAGGATGGTCTATTAAAAAGAAAGCATGTACGACAGCACTTCAGGTTGTTATAGAAAAAACTCCGGTACGCTCATAATATCTAAAGTGATAGGGACTTTTAAGATCTTTTTGATACAGCTACTGCTTTTAATACTCAAAGAGAAAAGGCATGTCTGATTATATCAGCACGTCATAATCCCCAATCGATAAGTGAATTGGTCCAATTCAAACATTTAGCAAAACCAGAGTATATTACGGATCTAAGTAGCCGAATATTGGTTCACTTAGAGCAACTTGATGACTACAATAACATTATACTTGCAACCAATGCTGTAAATAATTATTATTTCTATACGTTGGAGCATCTATCACATCGAAGTGACAAATTTTAGACCAATTTTATCAAACATTTTAGAGCTTATACCAGAAACAAATTGCTCCCTTTTACAAGCTCCAATACTGCAAGTATGTATAACATTGATTACTATGAATGCGTCAACAAATTATTTTAAGGTCTTAAGGCATTATCAAACTGTGTCAACCAGTTCCTTCAAGACTATTATGGAGATTTATATACGAAATTGAGCAGGCTGTCATGGGGTCCATTTGCACCGAAGCCCTTTGAAGTTTTCCCAATGATAGCTATTAATTTTAATACCACTAGTAACTATCATTGGGATGAGCATGACGAGACAAATAGTTTATGTGTCTTAGTTGTACTAGGGGATTACAAAAGAGGGGAGTTATGTTTTCCTTAGCTCCAAATGGTCGTATATCTTAGGCCAGAACAAATCATAGCATTTGCCTTACATTTATTACTTCATGGTAATTTTTCAGTCACTAGAGGGATCCGGCATAGTGTCATTTATTTCGTACATAGCATATTTTTCCATCATTTACGGGATTTTACTAAAGCTTATATTAAGGCTGGAATTAAGAAAGGTGCTAATAGACCAATGGTTTCTGAGCAAGATCTCAATAATGCTCAGGGTTTGAACCACCAGACTCATCTCCCCAAACCGAAAGCAAAACAAATACAGGTCCTTTCTGCTATATCTGATCGGAGACGAGGATATATAGATATGAATTGTTTTATAATGCTACATTATATATAGACAAAAAACATAGTTATTAATAATCGACGTTTCTCTAGATTTAGCATATGCTCGACAAGAGTTAAAGGCAGAAGATCCGCTTCCAGATTTATAGTAGTTATGTTTCATGTGTGATATTTGTACGTGTGTCTTCTTTATTAAAGTACGCTTAAGAAGTCTTATTTCCTTATCACTATTTTCTATTTACATTTCTGCACTGCATTACTTAATGTATTATTATAAGTAAATAACCAAAATCAATCGATACTATGCTTATGTGATGAATAAATACCATGGTGAGATCGATCATCAAAAATTTAGAAAAATTATTGCCGAGACATGATTTGTATATTGTACAAATATTTATGGAGGTAAAACTATCTCTCAAAGATGCAGAGCGCCGAACTACTGCATAATTAATGTCCTAATTATTCTTTTCTAGACAATAATATACAGCTCAAAACTAAATATAACGAACTACATAGGAGATTAATTAACATACATGGAGCATAGTTCCTCACTTATATAAATCTCTTTTCCTATATTTTTTAACTATAAATTTTATTGCTCTAACCTGCCTAAACATTGCATCTCTTTTTCTCGTTAGATTGTTTTTGTGTTGATAAGACGACTTCTATAGCTACTTGACACGAGTTTG